GAGAATGTGTAGCACTGTCATTAGAATATGTTATCAGACTTTTGGATTTGAGATTGAAAAGTGAAAATGTTTAATATTAGTATTAGTTTATTATGTTTTTCTCCTGTTATGAGTATGATGAAACATCTTTTCAGAGTGGGCAAAATTTTAAATTCCCTCTTGCTAGTGAGGATCCAAGTAAAAGGGTATTGTTTTACATTGCTGGTATACATGTGAACTTTTCAACCTATTTACAAAGCACTCTGGCAATCTGTGTTAAAATATTTTAAATGACAAATACCTTTGTTCTAGCTACCTTTTCTTAAGGGAATGCCATAGGAGTTGCAGCCGTCATTTCCACTTATAAGTCACGGGCCAAAATATAGTCATATGGCCATACTTTCAAGGGAGGCTAGGAAATACAGTCCTTAACTACGTGGCAATGTACAAAGCTAAAACTTGGGCATTCTAATACTGAAGGAAGAAGAAAGGACATTGAGAGACTAGATTAATTGGTGAGCTAGGTAACAAGAGAAAGAGACTTCCTCCCCACCCCCCCAAATTTTCTATTCCTCCAAAGGCATATTGCAAAAAGGCATAAACCAAAGAATTATTCATTGGGAACAAATATTATAACAGTGTAGCATATTACATACTTACAGGTATATATAAAGTTTTATATTTGCCCACATATTCAAAGAAATATGTATAAGTAAAGTTGGTTAAACACATTTATGGTATGCAGATACAGATATGACCATGTCACTATCCTACTTTTATTTGCCTTACAGATTGAAGCCCAAACCCCTTTGCCCATATTTCTATTGTTATATACTGCCTCCCTGGGGATGTAATAAAAACCATATAGAAAGATAAATTGCCTCTATCTGGAGTGGTTGGACTTCATGTAAGATATGGAATCTGAACTGGACCTTGAAGGAAGAAGTACTTGAATTAGTGGAGAGGGGCATGGAGGCATAAACAAATAGTTCCAGTCTTTTTAGGCCCACCCTTTTAAAAAATCAAAATATAGAATACTATGGAAATAAATGAAGTATCTATCATAAAGTAAAAATATCACTGTATCCACCACTCAGAAAATAGAGTATTACTGTTTACATAGTATACAACCTCTCAATAACTATCCTGCCTTTCTCCCCAATGTCATCATTCTTCCAATTTCTAACCATAGACCAATTTTACCTCACTTTCAACCTTACATAAATGGTATTAAGTGTGCATTTCATATGTATATGAGATTGTTCTGTATTGTTTGGAAAAGTTCACATTCATTGCTATATTCCATTGTATGACTGCACCAAATATATTTATCCATCCTGTTGTTGATATTTGGGTTTTTCTACCCTGGGGCTATTAACCAATAATGATGCCATAAACATTCTCTTATGTGTCTCTTGGTGTGAATGGGAAGACTTCTTTTGAGAGAATACTTAGGATTAAAATTCCTTGGTCTCGAGGTATGTTCACACTGTATACAGATGACAGTTTTCCAAAGTTTATGTTATTTATATCCCCACCAAAAGTATATGAAAGTTTCACAGTCTCCACACCCTGAGCAACACTTGGTATCATCACTGTTTTTAATGTTAGCCATTCTGATGGGTGTGTAGTGGCATTTCATTTTAGCTTTAATTTGCATGTTACTGGTGATGATTGAGACTGAGCACCATTTTATGTTATTTGCCATTTAGAGATCCTCTGGTTTGAAGTGCTTGTTCAAGTCACTTGCCCATATTTCTGTTGGGTTGTCAGTCATTTTCTGACTGATTTTTAGGACTTCTTTATTCTGGATATAAGTTCTTGAACACACATATATATACCAAATATCCTTTCTCATAGTATGGTTTGTCTTTTCATTTTCTCAGTAGCATCTTTTGAAAAAACAAAGTTCCTGAAATTAGTGTAATTTATTTTCACCAATCTTTTTCATTCTTAAATTATTTCACATGTGCCTTCAATTTTTTTTATAACCCTGACTGAAAGAGTAATTAGTACCAGAGCTGTTACAGGAGATGGACCCTTTGAGGTTGAATTAAATACACACACACGTAAAATCAATCACAGGGATAACTTCATTGCTATAGACAAAGGGACCACAAGTGATCCATGGCTTAAGGTACTGTTATACTTACTATTAATAGCATGGGATGGAGTGAAGGTGAGAATGTATCACTGTGGTAACCATAGTGATTTAAGATTGTGGATCCACCAGGCCTCTCTTACGAACCTAAACAGAATGTACACAGGAAAAAGAAAAATGTAAAAACTATGACTATGTAGCTGAGAATGCATAGAGAGTGTCAGAACTCCTCCACCACAGCTTTGAAGGAGTCCTTCATCTCCTATAAGCAGTGGGCAGAAAAGGTAGATTTGTAGTACCAATAAAATACTCAGTTCTTCCAGTTTTCTTAGTCTAAGGGTAGAGCATTGGTGAGAAAAATGTGGGGCCCTAAGACAGAATGGAGACTTTTGAGCAGACAAGAATGAAGATGAGAATGCTGAACCTGCATATCCCCCAAACTTCCTTGGCTCTCTGGGGAAACTAGCCTCCTCTGCATAGAGGCTTTCGGTGACTGCACTGGGAACAGCTCTCTCATAGGCTGGTATCTGTTCTCAGAACGTACCTTCATCACCTCACAGTATCCCTAGATAAATCTCAAGATCACCTAATCAGAGAAGTATGTGGCCTGCTATGGCATGAGATAACCTACACAGGAGTTAAAGACCTTACCATGTTGATCAGCAGAAACCTGAGGAGTATATATAGAAGTGGGTTCTAAGGATGTTACACCAAGGGGGAATCAATACAAGGTTTTATCATGGCAAATTTATTAGCATGGGTGCACTCACCTGAGAATCAACATCTCATATATTGGCATTAATAGTTTGCTAGGATGAGGCATGGGCTCAATAACAGTCTACAAATAATAAATGACCTACAAATGAAATTTGAAGTAATAATTTCAGAATCCCAGAAATACTCTGGCATACTGTAAAGAAGAGAAAACAAGGGCTCCTTAGACATTCTCCATTTTTACCAAGTCATTAAGGATGCATTGGTGATAGAAGTATAAGCATCCCTAAAGAGCTCTGAAGTGGCTGCCCTCTGTTTGTCAGATTGATGGTGATAAATGCTGTGGTAGAACTGAGTTTCCTGATCTCAGAATAAGATAATCTCAAATTGGTAGAGGCCACGTGATGGCATATAACCATCAGAGACATGGTGGGCACAATTACCATAATAATACAAAGAAGAGAACGTTAATCAGAGTGTTTTGACTTTCAGGGAAAGGTGGAAATGGTTCAAGGATAACAAGAAAGGAAGCAGATTAAGTAATAGATTAAGTAGCCTACTAATTTGCTGCTTGACATATATAGGTGGGAAAATTCTAAACTAACTTGTGTTGTCATAATGAAATTTGAAGCATCTCATCCAGTTCACAGACCTGGAACTCTTTGATGATGGAGAAAGATTGGGTCCCTTTGAAGAAAAATCCTGCAATGCTGCCACAGGTGTATAACCATGAACCTTCCCCTAATCCCATGCTTCCCAAATGTGTCTGTACTTTAGACCACCGTAAAATTCTCAAGAACATCCAGGCCAATTAAATCATAATTTCAGGGAGTGAGACCCAGGCATTGATATTTTTTGAAGCTCCCCTGGTGAGCAAATTACGGGATCACTGCCCTAATTCTTCTCTAGTGGCCATTTCCTGGAGAAAGGAAAATACCAGACCTCCTGAGGCTTATTAGATACTGTCTCTTAACTTATATTAATACCTAGAGACCCAAAACCTAATCCTGGACAACTGGTTAAAATAGGAGGCCTAGGAAACTTAAGTGACAGATGGAGTCTTGGCCTGCATCTGGGTTAACAGTGAGTCCAGAGAGACCCATATTGGGGTTATTTCTCCAGTCTTAATGTGTAGTAAGAATAGACATATTTTAATAACTGAAGCAGTCTTCATTTTAGTTTCCTGTCCAATGGAGTGAATGCTATTATGGTAGGAAGGCCTATGTAGAAGTTCATAACTGCTTGTCTCTCACCAAAGCAGTACTGCATCCCTGGGGAACTTGCAGAAATTAGTGCCACCATGCTGGCATAGTGATTCATACCACATTCCCACTTAACTTCCCTTTGTGGTCACCAGATGGGTCATAGGGAATGACAGTATAAAAACCAAATGGGTAGTAAAGAATGACTGGATTACTGCAAGATTTTATCAGGCAAAGATGCCAATTGTAGTTGCTGTTATAGGCGTGGTATCTTCATTGGAGGAAATGAATACAGACTTTGATATGATATATAGGTATTGCTCTGGAAGTGCCCCCTCATTTCCCATTCCAGTTATTCAGGGAAATCAGAAGTAGATTGTGTTTAACTGACAGAGACAACAGTAAGCCCTTACTGTCTTGTCTCAGCACTGTGCCACCTTTCTATTCTGTGCTGAAGGGACCTTGATCATCTTTCTATGCGATAGAATATCACACTGGTCTATTATAGAAATGAACGTTAAATGAGCCCAAAGAGCAGGAAGTAGTAAACACTCTACATGCTTTGGTAAGACATATGCTTAGCAGAAGGTGCAAGAAATACCCTGTAAAACTTCAGGGACCTGCCACATGGGATTCAGTGGCCAGAGACCTGTTAGGTTATCCATTCAAGTGAGTGACTGTTGTGTTTTTCACCACCACAGTAAAGAAAAAGGCAAAATGTGTGGCAGGCCTTTTTAGGTTCTGGAGACAACAAAATAGTACTTTTGGGTGACCTAACCTGTTTTATGGGTAACTGTAATTTTGAGTGGGGCCCAGAGCAAACTGTCTTGCCAGTTGGGCCTTATGGTTAGGCAGATACAATGGTATTGGAAGTTCATGTGGTAGAGATGCTATATGAAGTCTCTGAGGGTAAGTGCCAATAGGAGAATCACAAGATTCCTTGGTTTTTGAGTAAAGATCTATCTTCCTCAACCAATGTTTTGTTTTGTTTCTTTGAAAAGCAGCTCCTGGTTTGCTGCTGGTACCTGATAGAGATGGAACTCCTGACCATGGGACATCAAGTGACTATGTGAATGATCGAACTACTACTCGTCATGAACTGGTGTTATCTGATTCACCAATCATACAACTGGATGGGCATAACAGCAGTTCACTCCCTACAAAACTGGGTACATGGCCACAACTAAACTGAATAAGCAGGTGACTCAGACTACTGTTATTAGTACCTGCCCCTATTCCTTCAGCACTTCTCCCTCAATCCATATACACTGGCTTCAAAGGGGGTTCCCTCTGACCAATTAATGAAGGAAAAAAGTTTAGGTCTTGTTAATTCACAAAAGGGTCTGCAATGAGCTGGCAATAGCTGGGTGTGAGTGGTCACTATACAACACCATCGCTCAATAGTGGCCCTGAATCACAACAGTAAAGGGAAATCCTTTCCTTGAGAACTTTAGGAGATGTGGCCTGAGGTAAGGGTATAGAGTGGTTCATTGTGAGTGGCTTATGAGTCGACAGGCTGGACAAGAACTTAGAACAAATTAGAAAACTGGTTCAGTTTATGGAGCCAACCAGGAGACAATAACCTCCAAATTTAGGATGCGGACTTCAGAATAAAGTATTATGCTTAAATGCAGTAACCAATATGTAGTGCCATCTTTCCCAGAAGGTATGTAGGAGATGAGCATGGTCCTTCTATTTTCTGTATGTCTATTTTTTTTAAATACTGGGAGCATGTTTTCTGAATTTGGTGAAAAGCATGAAATTACAGATCCACAAAGCTCAGTGAAGCACAGGTAGGAAAATTACCAATGCGTGTTATTGTCAAACTGACAAAACTAAGAGAAAAATATCTTAAAAGCATTCAGAAAAAGTGCACATCACACACAGGAGGGCTATTATATGAATTTTTAAAAGTTTTTTAATGGAAGCATAACACACATGTAGAAAAGTACACAAATATAATTATTTAGCACAACTTATCACAAAGTAAAGATAACTGTGTAATCAACACCCACATCAATAGCTACAACACTAACATGCCCCCTTCTTAGTCATTATTCTTCTTTCTTCCCAAAGGTAATCACTTTCCCAAATTCTAACACCAAAGATTAGGTTTGCCAATGGTTAACTTTTATATATATTGAATACATAACTGTATTCTCTTGTGTCTGGCTTCCTTTGTTTAATATTGTGAGGTTCATCTCTCTGCCCCTCCCCTGCTCACTCATCTCTCACTCAAAAATAAATAAACAAACATTAAAAAAAATCTTTAAAGAAAACATTGTGAGGTTTATCCATGTTGTTACCTGGATCGGTTGTTCATTTATTTTCATTGTTATACAGTGAATGAATATATTGCCATTTACTTATCCGTTCTACTGTTGATAGATATTGGCGATGTTTCCATTTAGGGCTATTATAAAGACTGATGCTATGAACATTCTTTTGTATGTCTTTTGGGGTACACATGTATGCATTTTTGTTAGGTTCTCTATTATACCTAAAAACCCACTTGAAGAATTTTTTGGTCCCTGAAACTTTGGACTTAGTGGTTTTGGTAGTCTTGGTACTAAAGAGAGGAATGCTTCCTAATACTTTAACAAATTAGAAGTGGACACTGTTCACTGGCAGGTTTGGGCTTTTTCTGTCACTAACCAACAAGAGAGAAGGAAATCACTCTACTGGCAGGGTGAGGGATCCCTTTTAACGGGGAAATTGCGTTGCTGCTATACAGAATAAATATGACTGTATATGGACTGTAACAGTATTCTCTGAGAAGCTTGTTCGTATTCTCTTAGCCAATAGTCCAGTAAAAAACTAGGGTAACCCAAAAAGGACCTCTGCTAGGACTCATCTTACAAGAATGACTGTTGGGAGTATCCCACCCGGTAAGAATCCCATCCAGGTGAGGTACGAACAAAAAGTGAGAGAAACCGGGGCGCCTGGGTGGCGCAGTCGGTTAAGCATCCGACTTCAACCAGGTCACGATCTCACGGTCCGTGAGTTCGAGCCCCGCGTCGGGCTCTGGGCTGATGGCTCAGAGCCTGGAGCCTGTTTCCGATTCTGTGTCTCCCTCTCTCTCTGCCCCTCGCCCGTTCATGCTCTGTCTCTCTCTGTCCCAAAAATAAATAAACGTTGAAAAAAAAAAAATTAAAAAAAAAAAAAGTGAGAGAAACCAAGAATGGATGGTGAATAGGGCACCTGGATAGCTCAATTGGTTAAGCATCTGATTTCAGCTCAGGTCATGATCTCATGGTTTGTGGGTTTGAGCCATCAGGCTGTGTGCTGACAGCGTGGAGCCTGCTTCAGATTCTCTCTCTCCCTCTCTCTGCCCAGCTGTTCATGCTCTCTGTCTCTCACTCCCTCTCTCTCTCAAAAATAAACATTAAAAAAAAAAGTTAAAAAAAAAGAATGGATGGTGAAAGAAAACAGCTATGTTTATGAATCTAGGCCTCATGACCAGCTTAAAAAAGCAGGTTTTAAGAGACTATGTTTATGTTTTGTAACTTCTTTTCTCCCCTACCATATATGAAGAATTCTAGGGTGCTAATGTTTATGGTTCCAGAGCTGATTTACACCACCCCAGGATGAGTTTGTAACTGATGGGAAGAGATTGCTTAGTGGAAAAGAGTGAGGTGAGCATATCTTTTCTTCCCCTCCACTAGAGGTTTACTTGAACTGGATTTATACTTTGACCACAGGTCATTACTCGTCTCACAGTGAACTCTTCACAATTCTCTCTCCCTCCAAATTCTGATTAAGTTCTTCTGTCTCTTGGAACCTATTCTTGTAATTCTCTTATACCCTACACACACACAATTGTAATTAGTCCCTTTGTAAATAAACCTTCTTTAAATGATCCTGAATGTATCATTTGTTTCCTATTAGGACTCTTGGACACATGAACTTTTTTTTTTTTTTTTTAATTAAGTAGGCACCATGCCCAACATGGGGCTTGAACTCACAACCCTGAGATCAAGAGTCCTATGTTCTATTGACTGAGCCAGCCAGGCGCCCCTGGACACATGAACTTTTTATCTCTTGAATTGCTTCTTGTCTAAAATCTACTTGGATTTAGCATAGCCACACCATCTTTATTAGTTTTTGCATGATATACCTTTTTACTTTAAGCTTTTCTGCATTCTCATATTTAAGATTTGTCTCTTGAAAACAGGTTAAAAGTATACCTTTATAAATCCAAGTCTTTGTCTTTTAATTGGGATAATCAATTTACATTTAGTATAACTATTATATACAGGCTTTAAAGCTGCCATCCTGCTGTTTTTTGTCTCACCTATTCTTTGTTCTTTTTTCTGTACTTTCTTTGGGATTAAGTGTTTTTTCTGTTTCATCTTCTTCTTTTGATTTTTTGTGGTTTTATGTTCTTTTAATATTCTTAGTTACTCTAGAAATGAGAATGTGCATCCATGACATTTAAAAGCCTAGTATATATTAGTACGTTTTCCACTTCCTAGACAATGTGATTACTTTAGACCACTTTAAGACTATTTTCCTTCGCCTCTCAGTTACTGTGCTATTATGTTTTAAATCTGTATGTTTTTAACAACATGATATATTAGCATTGTTTTGTAAACTTACTATTTATTGGGATTTACCTATGTATTTTTCCCTTTCATTGCTCTTCATCTCTTCCAGAATGTGAGAGTGGCTATCTGAGATCATTTCTCTCTGCCCAAAGTCTACTCTTTTTTACAGGGCAGAAATGCTGGTGTCAAATTCTCAATTTCTGTTTGTTTGAAAAAAACTTTATTTTGCCTATTTGAAAGTTATATTGTTTGAATGTAAATTCTAAGTTGACAGTATTTTCCTTTGGTACTCTAAAGATAGCATCATTTTGGTTGCAAAGCAGCTGTCTTACTGTCATTCGTTTTGATAAAGTAATTTGTCTTTTTCCTCTGGATGCGTAAATTTTTCCTCTTTGGTTTTCAGCAATTTTACGATGATGTGCTTAGGTGTGATTTTCCTTGCCTTTTTCTTGCTTAAGGTTTATAGTGCTGCTTAAATCTGAGGCATGATGCCTTTTACTTATTTTAGACATCTCTTCAAGTATCACTTTTTTATGGTCTCTCATTCCTTTCCTTCTGGGTCTCAACTATATTAGACTTTTTAAAATTCTACACTATAAGTCTCTTCCACCTTTAAAAAATTTTTTACCATTTTCTTCCTTTTGTCTCTGTAAATCTATCTGCATATTTTCTTCTGAACTTTGTCCAATTCCCTAATTTTGTCCTCAACTCCATATAATTGACTACTAAGTCTACCCATTGTGAAAGTCTACCCTCAGCTAAAAGGCTGAGGTGTTTATTTCTTCCTTGTGAGCCCTAAACTCCAGTTTTCAACCTCCCTGCCCCCTCCTGGGCCTGTGAGTTTGCAAAAATCTGTGTTCACTTTCTCAGTTGCTTTTGATAGAGTCAGATGTCTCTAGCAGAAAGGGAGCCCTAAATACTCAAGTATCTCTCCGATGTGTCTCCCTCTCCTAGATCTTAGCCCTGCAATCTTCACCAGTTTGGTAGCTTTTTAGTGCCTTTAAAGAAATGTGGTTTTCTTTTTCTTGGCCCACTTTTCTAGTTGCTAGTTATTCTCAGCTAAAGCATAATCAAAACCCACCTAGTTCTTTATTATTAGAAGTGGAACTGCAGACGACTCATTTTTTTTAAAGTAATCTCTACACCCAATGTGAAGCTCAAACTCACAACCCCGATATGAAGAGTCAGTCGTATGCTCCACCAACTGAGCCAACCAGACACACCAAGTCCTTGGTGACTTGTGACATTTTTAATGTCAAAAATTTTACTGGATGCCCCTGCCCCCTATCAAAACACACAAGGTACTAGTCATACATGTTTAGCATATAAACTATAAATAAATATATAAGAAAAATAGACACATCATTATGTCCAAGTCCCCTGTAATAACTATTACTCAGGGATTTGTAACTCAAGGGAAACACTGCTATAAGCAAAGGCATAGTCTCAGCAAAGTTAGAAGGATGTTTGAAGGAACATGAGCCCAGTTTGATTAAGAGATTTGATGTATGAAAGCAGGGATAAAGGTCTGACTTTTATTCTCTATATAATAGGAAACCACTGGAAATTTCTTTATTGTGGTATCTTTAAAATTTAATTTTTTTTTTTATTTTTGAGGAAGAGAGAGACACAGAGTGTGAGCAGAGGAGGGGCAGAGAGAGAGGGAGACACAGAATCTGAAGCAGGCTCCAGGCTCTGAGCTGTCAGCACAGGGCCCACAGCGAGGCTCAAACTTAACAAACCATGAGATCATGACCTGAGCGGAAGTCACTCAACTGACTGAGCTACCCCTATTGTGGTATCTTTTCATAAAAACTGTGTTCAATACGGTAGTGACATGCAAGATAGACTGAAGAAGTAAGAATACAGGCAGAGAAACCCACTAGGAATCTTTAGTAATGGACCAAATATGAGCTGTTGATGAGAGACTTCATGGTGTAATGAAAAGAATGTTGACATTAGAATCACAGGACTTGTAATTACTGGTCCTGTCAACTTGGGCAAGTCATTTAACCTGTGTGATTCTGCTTATTTACATGCCAGTCACCTTGGAGGCCTTTAATAGAATGATGAAATGTTAATAACTTTTGCTTAACTCACAGAGTGGTTATACAAATATAATGATGATAAAAACCTTTTAAAATGCATATTATAAAATTTAAGGTGTAATATGCATTTGAAGATCTAAAGAAATAAAAGTGGAGACGGATAAGGAAAGAGAAGAGTGAAAGAAAAAGATTATTCAAGTATAGTGAATCCTGGTGACTAGAAAATGGAATCACTTACATAAGTCAGTCAAAAGAGGAACTGATGGGGTGCCTGGGTGGCTCAGTCAGTTAGGCATCTAACTCTTGATCTCAGCCCAGACCGTGATCTCAGTTTGGGATCAAGCTGTGTGTCAGGCTCTGCGCTGACAGTGAGGAGACTGCTTGGGATTCTCTCTTTCTGCCCCTCTACACCCCCTTCCTCTCTCTCTCTCAAAATAAATAAACTTAAAAAAAAAAAAAGAGGAACTGATTTTGGGAATCAGGACGAGGGAAAAAACAGTGATTTATTTCATTTTAATTGTGGAAATGTTTAGCAGGCACTTCTCTACTGTATCTATTAATTTCATATATTGTTAGGTATTTTCATGTGAGATTACTCAATTTCCTTTATAAAATTTTAAGTTTGGAGATAAAGAAGATATCTCCTTGGGAATATGTATTTCCTCATTTTTTTTTTAAGTTTATCTGTTTATTTTGGAAGAGAATAGAGTACAAACAGGGGAGGGGCAGAGAAAGAGGGAGAAAATCCTAAACAGGCTCTGCACTGACCTGGCACAGAGCCCTAGGCGGGCTGCGAATTCAGGAACCCAGAGATCATGACCCCAGGCAAAATCAGGAGTCAGACACTTAACCGACTGAGCCACCCAGGCACCTCATTTTTAATTTAATTTTAATTTAATTTTAATTTATTAAAAAAAAATAAAGCTTGTACCTGCTGGTTTGATAAAAGTTCCATTTATTTTTGTCCAGTTTATTAGTAAAGTGATTACATGGGGTACTGCCTGGTTTAAGGATTATTTGTTCCTTCCAATTTAATACCAAACTGCTATTCTTCAGTGTGCATCACTCTAAATCTTTATCACTATTAGTACTTTAAGGTACTGTACCTTACTAAAACCCAGGCAAACACTTTATTTTTTTTTTCAATATATGAAATTTATTGTCAGATTGGTTTCCATACAACACCCAGTGCTCATCCCAAAAGGTGCCCTCCTCAATACCCATCACCCACCCGCACTTCTCCTCTCCCACCTTAATCTCAGTTTGTTCTCGCTTTAAGAGTCTCTTATGTTTTGGCTCTCCTTCTAACCTTTTTTTTTTTTTTTTTTCTTCCTCCCCATGGGTTTTGTTACGCTTTCTCAGGATCCATAAGAGTGAAAACATAGCAGGTATCTGTCTTTTCTCTGTATGGTTTATTTCACTTAGCATCACACTCTCCAGTTCCATCCACAAAGGCCATATTTCATCTTTCTCATTGCCACTTAGTACTCCATTGTGTATATAAAACCACAATTCTCCCTTTATCCATTCATCAGTTGATGACATTTATGCTCTTTTCCATAATTTGCCATTGTTGAGAGGTTGCTATAAACATTAGTACAAGTGCCCTATGCATCATACTCCTGTATCCCTTGGGTAAATTCTTACAGTGCTATTGCTGGGTCATATAGGTTTTATTTTTACTTTTTTTGAGAAACCTCCACACTACGAGCCGGGGTTGTACCAATTTGCATTCCCACCAACAGTGCAAGAGGGTTCCCGTTTCTCCACATCCTCTCCAGCATCTATAGTCTCCTGATTTGTTCATTTTGGCCACTGACTGGCGTGAGGGGATGTCTGAGTGTGGTTTTGATTTGTATTTCCCTGATGAGCGATGTTGAGCATCTTTTCATGTCAGGCAAACACTTTAACTTCAATTTGAATTTCATGTGAGACATAACAAATGTCTTACTGAAAGTCATATGCCATGTTTGTTTCTTTTATATTTTAAATGTATATGCCTTTAATTTAGACTGTGAACTTTTAAGATGGTTTCTGTTCCTTCTGAAATCCTTAGTTTCTCCTAATTGTTTTTAAAATTAAATTGTAATGGACACTCAACCATAACAGTAGCTTTATGTTGTGCCCCAGGAATTTGTCCCCCATAATTTGATTATCTCTGGATTGCTGTAGTGTGTTACTGAATCTGTAACTTTACATTTCCAGTAACATCCAACATCTTCAGTAAGTTTAGACTTTAAAAAAATGCTTTGTCCACGATTAGAAAGCTGATTGGGGGTTTAGACCAAACATTCCTCTTACATCCTCATTTGTTCCCTCTCATTTTTGTCTAGTTTCCCCTATTCTTACATGAGTAGAAATTTGGTTATACAGAGCTGTTTGCCTTTCCTGCTTTTTTTTGCCCATTACAGTTTTCTGTATTTAACAGCCCTTCTAGTTCTACTCCAAATAAAATATTTTGTATTTTTTACTTGGGACTACAGAAATAATGTATTGGCATCCTCTCTTATCCAGTAGATTTTGGCATGCCCAAATCTGGAGGTGAAAAAAGCAACAACAACAAAAAAAACAGAGCAGCAAGGAAAATCGGTAAGCTTTACCCTGCAGCAAAAATATCAATCTGTTCTTAAGGAATTAAGTGCTTCACAAAGGTGAGTTCTCCATGTGACTAAGGCTTCAATTATTCATCGTGGACAGTAACCCAGTGCAGTTTGAAGGTCCTTGTCATTACAGGTGGCCTAGTAAATGTTTGACAACTAGCTCACCAGGAAAGAAAAAAAAAAAAAGCTTTGATTATGGTGTTTGCAAATTTCTTGGGGGTAAATATCCCACTGTGGCTCATTTCAGGCTACCACAGGACATCACAGAACACAGAATTAGAAGAAGGTATATATTATCAAACTGTAATATTTCTATAATACAGATATGATCACCATAACCACAAAAACATGGATAATAGTAAAATGAGGAAATGAATTTTGAATATTTATTATTCTTATATATTGGATTTTAACATAATTGTCAGCTTACATAGTTAATTCTTCATAAAGGCTGTGTTTAACAGCCTGCAAAATTTCTAAAAATGTTTAAATGTACTCATAAAGCAGTATAAGCCAGCTCTAGCATATACTGCTTTCTGCACTCTTAGTTTTGGAAGTGACTTAGGCAATAGCTAATATGAGTTGAATCCTTCATGCCTTTTTCATATTCCTCCATGTATATGATACCTTGTTATGACTTTATTACTTTTTAAAATCTTCTGAGCCAGCTGTAAATGTTTAATTTGTCACTTGTAAATAAACACAAACAAAAGGAACTCCATAAACAATGGGAATAGAGACATTTCCTCAAGGAAGAAATATAGACAGCAAAACAGCACATGAAAAGATGCTGACCATCATTAGTCACTAGGTAAATGCAAATTAAAATAACAATGAGCTATACCACTACATACCTATTAGAATGGCTGATTAAAAAGACTGGTCATAACAGGTCAGGGGGAACTGGAATTCTCAGTATATAACTAGTGAGAATGTAAAATGGTACAACCACTTGGAAAACAGCTTGACAGTTTCTTAAAAAGGTAAATGTATACCTATCATAATCCACCTATTCCATTCCTACCTATTTACCAAAAAGAAAACCTATGTCCATACAAACACTTACACAAGAGTATTTGTTATAGACAAAAACTGGAAACAACCAGAATGTCCACCGATGGGTGAATGGATATAGAAATTGTGGCATATCCATACAAAGAATACTACTCAGTAGTAAAAAAAAACAAAAAACTTGAGTGACACAACATAGGTAAATTTCAAAATAATTATGCTGAGTGAAAAAAGTCACGGAGGGCATGCTGTTTGATTCTATTTAAATAAAATTATAGAAAATGCCAGCTAAGCTATAGGACAAAATGATCATTGGCTTCAAGTGGGTGCAAGGAAGAGGGGTTGGGTTGGGGGAACAGAAAGGGTTTACAAAGGACTACACAGACACTTGTAGTGAGGCATATGTTTATTATCTTGATTTTGGTGATTGTTTCATGGGTGTATACATATGTCAAATTACCAAATTGTGTACTTTAAATATATGTGATATACTGTATGTCAATTATATTTCAATAAAGCTATAAGAAATTTTTTAAAATTTTTTTTAACATTTATTTATTTTTGACAGCCAGAGACAGCTGTGAGCTGAGCGTGAGCAGGGGAGGGGCAGAGAAAGAGGGAGACACAGAATCTGAAGCAGGTTCCAGGCTCTGAGCTGTCAGCAGAGCCTGACACAGGGCTGAAACTCACGAACCGCAAGATCATGACCTGAGCCAAAGTTGGACGCTTAACCGACTAAGCCACCCAGGCGCCCCATAAAAATTTTTAAAACTATGGTCTGGCCAATGAAGATGAGGAAAAGGCAACTGCTTTGTGCTGGACAATACATTTCTACCTTTGGGAGTAAAACTGTATAGGTTCTTTAGGCAAGCCCTGACCACATTGCTGGCTTATACTGAGAAGTTGAGCAACTGAAATGCTCAGGTTTTTATCACATGTCTGCTGTTAAGCCAGATTCTCTTCATCTTTATACTTTTTACTTCTTTACACATTTTATACTTATCTCTGCTATATTTTATATTATTTCTTTCTCATAACTATTATAGTGAGGCTTTGGTATTAATATTTATTAGACAATTGGTTTTTCAGATTCTGTTTAGTGAACACTAGGGAGGGATACTCACAGAACCATCTGAGGTATCCTGAGTGGGTGTGAGGATTGGAAATGGAGGGAAAATGATAAAGATTCTCAGTAGGCAAGGCTCTAGCCTCCAAGTCAGGCAGCTTCTTTGTTTTATAGACTTAAGGGCTCCTGAGGGGAAAAAGTATGAAAATCACCTCTTAAGTTTTCTACAAGCTAAGCCCAGAAGCTAATGCATAGCAGTTGCTCAATAAATATCTGCCAAATGGATCTTGATTAAATTTAAAATGATTCTTTCATGGGGCACCTGGGTGGCTCGGTCAGTTAAGGGTCCGACTTCAGCTCAGGTTATGATCTTATGATCGTTTGTGAGTTCCAGCCCCTCGTCCAGCTCTGTACTGACAGCTCAGAGCCTGGAGTCTGCTTCAGATTCTCTCTCATTCTCTCTCATTCTCTCTCTCTCTCTCTCTCTCTCTCTGCCCTTCCCTGGCTTGTGCTTTCTCTCTCCCTCAAAAACAAAAAATATTTAAAGGAATAAAAATAATAAAATGCACTCTCGCTTCTTTCTGCACTCCCTCTCTCACGTGGCACATAAACATTTATTCTGTCATCTGAGTTTCTTGAGGTGGAAGTATTAATTTTTGAGAACTGCTATTGATTTTACACTAAGAAAGGTACCGATTGCAAGGAAGATGGAAGAACAGAAGGATCCTGAGCTCACCTCCACCCCCCACCCCCGCCAGACACACCCATACTGCAACTACATTTAATATAACTCACTCTGAAAACAACCTGAAGATTAGCAGAACAACTTTTCCACAGCTACTGATATAAAGAAAAAGCCACATTCATTACAGTAGGAGGGGCAGAGACTCAGTCGAGAACCAAAACCCCTGGCCTGGCAACCCACAAGTAGGAGGGATATCATAGGAGTTCCTCTCTAAGGAACGAAGAGATCAGGCTCCACATCAGGCACCTCTGGCTGTGGGGACCTGCACAGGGAAGATAAATCCCCATAAAATCTGCCTTTGAAGATCAGTAGGACTTACCATAACTCTAAGAGAGCCAGAAGGCAATAAGAAACAAAGACGCCACTCATAAGGCCAGAGCACTAGATCACTTAGTCTGAGACCCAGCACAGGGGCAGCAGTTTGGAAAGCACCTGGGTTATACATGAAGGAAATCTAATTTTAGGGTGTTCTGGAGGGGCAGGGCAGTACTGGTGGGCACCATTTTTCTTGCCCTCTTTCAGCTTAGCTGGACGACGGTTGTGTGAGCCAGTTCTGATACTCTCCATCTGTCCTGAGAACACTACTTGTTCCTCCCCAGCATTTCCCTACAGACCTGTCCGGTCCAATCTGCACCACACCTGGCAAGCAGCCTCAGTTGTTTTTTGGGGTTTGTTAATTGGTTGGTGGTTGGTTTTTAAGATTTTATTTGGGTAACTCTATACCCAACATGGGGCTTGAACTCACAACCCCTCGATCAAGTCACATGCTCTACCAACTACCAATGCCCTTCCAGAGCAACTTCTGCCCCAGGGAGGTGGAGTGCTAGCCCCACCCACCAGCATGCCCACCAAAGGTGGAGGTGAGACTCTTAGACTTCTACACTGGAACTAACCCTATCTACCAGCACACCCACTACAGCCAGATCTCATAGCTGCACAGGGGTCCACCCCTACCCACCAGTACACCCATAAGTAGTCATGGCTAATCACTGCAGCCAGCCAGGCTGGAGGCCAGACCTGGCCACTAGCATGCCTGCAGCAGTCATGCCAAGTCACAACAGGAGAGTGAATGCAGTCCACAGAGGGGACATCCTTGGATTACCTGGTTCTGGTGACCAGAGAGGATTGTGCTACTGGGCCCCACAGGACACCTTCAACATAAGACCACTACTTTCAAGATCAGGAGACAGAGGAATATGTTCCAAACAAAAGAATAAGGCAAAACCTGGGAAAGAGAACTAAACAAAATAGAGATAAGGAATCTATCTGATAAAGAGTTCAAAATAATGCTCATAAAGATGCTAACCAGATTTGAGAGAAGTATATGAGCTCAGTGAGAACTTTTTTTTTTTTTTTTTTTAATTTTTTTTTCAACGTTTTTTATTTATTTTTGGGACAGAGAGAGACAGAGCATGAAAGGGGGAGGGGCAGACAGAGAGGGAGACACAGAATCAGAAACAGGCTCCAGGCTCTGAGCCATTAGCCCAGAGCCCGACGCGGGGCTCGAACCCACGGACGGCGAGATCGTGACCTGGCTGAAGTCGGACGCTTAACCAACTGAGCCACCCAGGCGCCCCTAAGCTCAGTGAGAACTTTAACAAAAACTTCAAAAAAAAATCAGAGCTAAATAATACAATAACTGAAATGAAAAATACACTAGAGGGAATCAACAGCAGATTAGAGAATACAGAAAATTGGATCAGTGATCTGGAAGACAGAGTAATGGAAAGCACCCAAGCCGAACAGTAAAAACAAAAGATTTAAGAAAAAAAAAAAAGACACGTTAATGGACTTCTAGGACAACGTCAAGTATACTAACATTCATATTATACAGGCCCCAGAAAAAGAGAAAGGGGCAGAAAACAATTTGAGAAAACAACAGCTGAAAGCCTCCTTAAGTTTAAGGGGGATGAAAACAGACACCCAGGTCTAGGCTATACAGAGAACCTCAAACAAGTGAGCGCAAGGCAGTCCACACCAAGACACATAATTAAAATGTCCAAAATTTGGGACACCTGGGTGGCTCAGTAAGTTAAGCGTCTGACTCTTGATGTCAGCTCAGATCATGATCTCAGAGTCATGAGACTGAGCCCTGCACTGGACTATATGCTGGCATGGAGCCTGCTTAATATTCTCTGTCTCCCTCTTCCTCTGTTCCTCACCCACTCAGGCACATGCATGCACTCTCTCTCAAATAAATAAAATGTCCAAAATTAAAAATAGAGAATCTTAAAAGCAGCAAGAGAAAAGCAAATAATTACATACCAGGGAAACCTCATAAGCCTATTACTTGGTTTGTCAGCAAAAATTTGCAGGCCAGAAGGGAGCAGCACTATATATTCAAAGTGCTCAAAGGAAAAAACCTA